TGATGCAGTGCACCCTGGCAAGGGTTCATCAAGCAGCAGAAAGGAAACTCTGATCCATTCATGAGACAAGTGTTTATCATCCCATCCTTGTTTAAGTTCACAAAAAAATATTAAGAAATTCAAACGAGAATTAGGCATCATTTTTTTGTACTCACTCATTATTTAATCCAAGAACTGTGCAGTAAATGACAGAATGTTGATTTCCTGTAAACAATCGGTGTTAATCTAAAGAAGATATACATTTGTGGGAATCTTAATGTATGACTACTAGGAATACTGCAATATACTTACTGAATCAATGCAGTTATTGTTTTGTGAAAGCATTATAGTTCATCTTTAATAGGCTAATGCATTTGTCATTTTTTGCATATTTGTATGTATTCTTGAGCAAATTCTATGAGTAAAACAGTTAAAGTAAACCGCTTCAATATGTTGCTAAGTATATATGCACTTATAACAAAGTCAATATGGAATGTGTTGTAAGTAAATTTGTGATGGACGCTACCATGGTATTGAGTGGTTGTTAGATTGCAGAATACTAGAATAATGTGTTTGGGTTAGGTAACATAATTGAGTATGACTGCCATCATCATTAACTAATAAATGCATCAGTTTCTAACAAGGTTAATTTATTTTCATGTGAGCCATTGCAATTCATGTTGCTTTGCCCTTAATTTATTCATATTTTATACAAATAATTCCAAATAAAGGTATGATGAAATCTATCTGTTTTATTTAAGATTTTGCCAGTCCTTTTTTTTTTTTCTTACATAAAACTGACATGATCAAAGAAAGCATATTATTAGTTAACAGATATGTTACAGCATCAACAAAAGTAAGTAGGGATAAACTTTTATCTGTATTTCTATTTTTTTTTTCTCTCTTTTCCTTTGTCTCTCTTTCTCTTCATCTTTTTGCCAAGGCTGAAAAGTTAATTATGGTTACTTATTATAAATTACCTAACAAAGAATTCTGAATATTCAAATTCTTGTATATTTAGGTAGCATTATATTTAGATGATTTTGAGATAGATGTGTAAGGGTATTGTAGAGTACCTGATAGTAGATTTCTTCAGAGATTTTTTTTTTATAGCAATTGATTATATTACATACATTATACATCCCTTTTATTTTAATCAGAAGTACTAATATGTCTATTGTACATATAATCAGAATGATGTCAGATAGGACTTATGCTCTATGAAACTTTTCATTCTTAACCTTTTTCTACTTGTTGCAGTGAACTCTGTTTAAGGGACAAGTTGTAATTGTAATCTTTTAAAATATGGTAACTCTCACCTACTAATGTATTATCACTTAGAAAACGTACTTCAGCTGTCAATGCTTTTCAGGGTATAGCAGAGGGCTGAGTACATCAGTTTCAAGATGGAGGAAAGAGGAGACAGCACAGAGTGAAGGGACAAGCACAGGCCAAGAAGATGCTTTTGAGTCAGAGAGCTCTTCTGAGGAAGATTATGATGCAGGGGAAGACCAACTTCGTGCAGAGATCCTGAATGCTGCTATGCCTTTTATATACTCCCATGGGTGGTCCCAGGAAGCCATTGCTCAGGGTAAGATGCATGTATGCTGTCAGACCTCTTTTTTCTGGTATCTTGCTTTCCTTGCCTATCAACTTTTTTTGTAGATGAGAAATGCATCTACATTACTAGAAGTAATTCCCTTTTATTTAGTTTTTGTAATCAAAAAGTTAAAGATTATCATGGTAAATCATAACATAAACAGTATTTCCAAGAAACTTATTTTTGTCTACCTTTCACCCCCAAAGGCGCTGAGACACTTGGCTATTCTGGTATGGCACATGGGATGTTCCCCAAAGGGGGTGTGGAGCTTGTCAATCACTTCTATGCCACATGCAACAACAAACTAGAAGAAAACCTGGCAGCCAAGGCAAAGGAGATCGAAAATAATCCAGAACTGTAAGTTCTATCCTTTTCCTCTTACTTTTGATAATGCAGATTTCTAGATTTCTTCCTCTTCACCATACCATGGGTTCTCAATCTGTTCTCAATGTGAAGCACCAAGCTCATATGCCAGGTGTTGTTAGGTCTGCTATACATTGTTTATGCTTAAAGTTGTTCACTTATTTGATCCTCTCAAACAATTTAAGATCATTTCAAAGTTTTATTGTAAACTAATACATCTCAAAACATAATAAAAGCATTTGTTTAATTTCTTAAACAAATAAATGTGCTAGATATCAAAGGTTATATAGCACTATGGTAAAATATTGAGGTGGAATGGGTTCAAAGTTCTTTATTAGAACAAAAGGTCTTAGATTTCAATGGTCATATGGCATATAAGAGGGGGAGTAGGATAGGGATTGATAGAAAGAGAAGGGTTAGGGACAAAGGATGCTTAGATCAAATGGAGGGTATTTATGCATCTGAGGAAGGAGAACATACTGTAAGGAAAGGCAAGGGTATAGGCTTCAGTAAAGCAAGGGTAGGATAGTATTTAATAATTTTGTTTCTAAATGTAAATGAAACTGAAAAATATATGAAGCAACAAGTCTCTTCCATCTAGTGTCCCTTCTGTGCTTCATTGTGATTCTCTTGATTGTTGAAAAGGAAAAACTTGAGAAATGTGCTTGGGGCATCTTTGTTCCTCTTCATCTCCTAATGAGTACCCATATTAGTTATTTAACAACAGGAAAAAGGGTCCACCACTTTTAAAGCTGAATCATTTATCAACAGGAAAAAAGGGACCACAGCTTTTATAGCTGAATCTGTGGAGGAAAGGCTGCGCATGAATATTGAGTACCTTGACACATGGCACCAGGCACTTGCTCTCCATGCCTCACCTACGAACATGCCAGAAGCATTAGATAATCTTGGGCGGCTTGTTGACCACATATGGTACTATGCAGGAGACAGATCTCATGATGTAAGTTTTACAGGATTTGTGTAACTGCATTTACATGGTGCTAGAAATTTCAGATAGTTTTATAGAATATGAAAATGTTGATGTAAGTTTTATGTCTAATTTTTTGGCTTTTCATGTCCCTTTGCAGTTGGTTCTCTATTGTTTTTGCCCTATATCTCTTGTTTCCTTTGAGTTTTCATTTCTTTAAGATTGTATTTGACTTTTCAGTTCAACTGGTATACCAAAAGAGGGATCTTAGCTGCAGTTTACAAAAGCACAGAATTGTACATGCTACAGGATAAGTCTGAAGATTTTGAGGTAAAACTTTGTACTTTTTTCTTCCTTCCTTTCTCTTTTTTTCAAGAGTGGGGATATTCCAGTATTATATTTTTATAAAGGTTGTCTTGTTCTTGTTCTTTCATAGCCTTCTTTATTTTAATGTTATTGTTTTTTATAACAGTTTCCTTTTTGAAATAAGAGGACTTGATCTTCACCTTCATCTCCATATATAGATTAACTCAAAGCCACTGGGCAAGGCATGTATGTACATGGCATGCCCACTGAGTTTATTTTATTAATTGTTTTTATACATAGATGGCTACACTTGTACTAAGTCACCAGTGAGCCAATTATGAGCACAGCATTTTACCTGGCAGCATGTGGTTAAGTTTACACATAATAAAGAATTTGTTTATAAGTCAGTCATTTATCTGATTAGAGGATAATGTATCACATGCCCTACTAGTATAATTGCTTATATTATTTATTGAATTCCTACGCTTGTTTGTCTTCTTTTGATATTACTGCATTCCAACAGGATACCTGGGCTTTTATGAACAGACGACTCTCAGATGTCCACAGCGTAGCAAAGTGTGCAAGAAATGCAGATAATGTAACCAAGGATATTAGGAATGTTGTGAAGGCCGGACTGTTAACGGTAACTGTGTGAATATAATCTTTGTCTTGGTTGTAATGCAAGATCATATAAGCCATATTCCTTTTTATCTTTCTTAGAACATTACTTTTTGGTCATAAGAATATCCTTAATATCATATATTATTATAATGTTATGGTGTGTTCATTTACTATAAATGCTATATGCAATAAGTATTCACTGACAATTTAAGGTGCATCAGTTAATCTTTATTTCTTCTTTTTTTAGGCCCTAAATATAGTGGGAATGAATGACAGATCCCGCTGAACAGAATTCATCATTGTTTTGTTATTAGTGTACATTTGATGTAAATAAAAATACACACTTTTAGGTTTTCTTCTTCTTCCAAATAATGTAATGTATTTAAGGCCAAACTTTTCATTATTGAAAGAT